CCCCGGGGCCGCCGCCGCAGCAGGAGCCGTGAGTAGCCCGAGGAGGAGGAGGGAGGGGGGGGCGTCCGTCGGTCGTCGGGCAGCGTCTGAGGAGTCCGCGGGCCCCCTGGCGAAGTCCGGCCAAGTTTCCTCCGGGGCGCAGCCTTCCACCCCAGGAGGAGACGGGCTCGGTCTCCCGGGCGGGCGCCCCCGGGTCACGCGGGCTTTGTCGCCCTCTCCCTTCACAGCAGCACGCGGCGGCCCCCCGCCTGAATCGGCGCTCGTGCCGCCCCCTCCGACTCACCTGCGGCCGCCTGGCCTCGCGCCTGGGGGGTTCTGCCCCTCCTCCCCCCCCCTTCGCCACCGGATGCCCCCTGCCTTCCTTCCTTCCTTCCTTCGTCGCTAAAACATTTGTATCCCACTTTCCCTTGTGGGGGGAAAAATGCTACATTAGCATTTCGTTTTTAGGAACATAAAATATGACTATGGACATTTTTACTTGGCATGAAATCATCACAACTAGCCTATTAAAAATAGAGTGTATCCAAACAGTTATTTCAAACAGAATACCCGCCCACATGCAAAAACAAAACTGAAACCTTTTTCTTTTCTTCTGACAACAGCACCTCCTAAAGGAAGAAATGCATCTTGTTCTTGCATTGGAGAGTTCAGTTTGTAACCGAGGACTTGCTTGTCCTCAGTGCACAGAAATTAGATCAATCTGATACTATATATTAGAAATGATTTGGAAAGTATTTGAACACCTCGTCTTAAAATATTTTATTCATCATGTTAAAATAAAACATTCCATAATCAATTTCTTTTCTTTTCTTTCAATTTTTCCAATTTTTCGGGAAAAAACAAAAAACGCTTCAGGAAAAAAAACGGGTTTTCCCCCCAAATTTTTCTGTTTCCCCCCCCAGGCCTTCGCATCTCTATGTGCATCTGATCTAACTGATCATGAGGTGGTAATGTCTGATTTCTCCTCCTTTTTAGTCCGGGTGCATATGTCGTGATCCCACCCAATCTTGCAAGAAGGAATCAGTTACAGAGAAGTAAGTACGTGCCCTGGAGCCAAGCCGTTGCGCCACTTCTGTGCAGAACGCCGTCCCTGAGCTGTGCATATAGTAGGGCTGCCATATTTTGAAAAGCGAAAAAGAGAACATATTTCCTGACCGACTACTTCAAACAAGCGATCACCATGACAGATTTCATTTTAAATACCCTTGCTGTTAAAGCGGTGATGACTGCTACCGGCCGGGAATACTCCTGACCTTCCAACCCGAAAGGAGGGTGTTTTCATCATTTTTTTTAAAAGAGCCCAAAAGAGGACCGACACCAGAAAGGGAGGATGTGTCCTCTGAAAAGAGGGCATCTGGTAACCCTGGCATGTGGCGCGTTGGGCCAGGCGGTCCTCTGCTAAAAGGGGGGGGGGTCCCATGGCCATCGGAAGCTGCTGTACATGGCCTGTGTTGCTCTTATTGTGTTTTAGTTGCTAATAAAGAACTGGAAGAACTCGACAAGTGGAAGGAACTGCACAGACCAGGACCAATTAATTTGACCCCCCAGAAGCTCGGTAAGTGAACTTCGGGAGCTGCCGTGTCTGTCTCGAGATACACCTGCCCCTTTGCCACAGTGTGTTGAAATGGGCGAAGCGAAAAAGAAGCTTTAGTGTGAAATCTGAAGAATCCAAGTGGTTTTCTTTCCAATTGCACAAAATATATATCTTACTGCATCTTGGGCAACTGAAATCAAAGCCACATATCACTTTAACGAAGTACTGTATGGTGTATTTGTTCAGGGTTGAATAATCGTTCGAATTCCCACAATTATTTTAAAAAATTGCTGGCAGGAAGTAAATATTTGTGATTAATTGGTCAGAGCCCTGACCTGGATGGCCCAGGCTAGCCTGGTCTTGTCAGATCTCCGGAGCTAAGCCGGGTTGGCCCTGGTGGGTCCTCGGATGGGAGACCCCCCCCCAGGAAGCCCAGGGCTGCTGCTCAGAGGCAGGACATGGCAGACCCCCTCTGGACACCTCCTGCCTTGGAAACCCCGTGGTGGAGGAAGCTACGAGGGACTCGGCCATACTCGACTTAATATTGACCAACAGGCAAGAGATGGTAGATGGGGTGAAGGTGATGGGAACCTTAGGGGAAAGCGACCATGTCCTGCTTAGAATTCCTTTTGCTGTGGGGGACCAAGGAAGATCGTAGCCACACAGTAAGGCAGACTTTAATAAACTCAGAGGTACAATGAGAATCATTCCATGGGCAAGACTGCTGGAAGGGAAAGGAGCAAGTGAAGGGTGGGCTCTCCTAAAACAAGACCTCTTGTAAGTTCAAGCTGTCACTATTCCAAAAAGAAAAACATAAGAACATATGAGAAGCCCATGTTGGACCAGGCCAATGGCCCATCCAGTCTGACACTCTGTCACACAGTGGGCAAAAATACCAGGTGCCATCAGGAGGTCCAGCAGTGGGGCCAGGACACTAGAACCCCTCCCACTGCTGCCCCCCCCAGCACCAAGAATACGGAGCATCCCTTGCCCCAGACCGAGAGTGGCTAATAGCCACCAATGGACCTCTGCTCCATATGCTTCTCTAATTGCCTTGAAGCTGTCCATGCTTGTAGCCGCCACCACTTCCTGTGGCAGTGAATTCCATGTGTTAATCACTCTTTGGGTGAAGAAGTACTTCCTTTTATCTGTTCTAACCCGACTGCTCAGCAATTTCATGGAGTGCCTATGAGTTCTTGTATTGTGAGAAAGGGAGAAAAGTACTTTCTCTACCTGCTCTATCCCGTGCATAATCTTATAAACCTCGATTAGTTCACCCCTCAGTCGTTGTTTCTCCAAGCTAAAGAGCCTCAAGCACTTTAACCTTTCTTCCATAGGGAAAGTGTTCCAACCCTTTTATCATTCTAGTTGCCCTTTTCTGCACTTTTCCCAATGCTATAATATCCTTTTTGAGGTGTGGTGACCAGAAACATGGTAGGGGATCCAAGAAGCCCATGTGGATGAACAGAGAACAGAGAATTGCGTGCTGTGCTAGGGGAGAAAAAGGAAATGTTCAAGAAATGGAGGCAAGGACACACCTCTAAAGAAGAGTATCTGTGGGTTGCTAGGCACTGGAGTTCAACCATCAGAGAGGCCAAAACTCACAGTGAGCTAAAGCTGGCCAGGGAGGCTTACGACAACAAGAAACTCTTCTTCAGATATGTGAGGAGCAAATGCAAGATAAAAGAGGCAATGGGCTCACTATTGGGTAAAACTGGAGAAACTCTGACAGAGAACAGAGAGAAAGCAGAAAGGCTCAATGCCTATTTTGCCCCAGTTTTTTCCCTGAAGAAGAGAACAGGCTCACCTAGAGATGGTAGGAGGCAAGGCATGGTGCCTGGGCTGCTGGTGGACTACAGAGAGGTAGTTGAGAAGCACCTGGCTGCATCGAATGAGCACAAATCCCCCAGGCCAGAGGGCGTGCACCCAAGAGTGCTCCAAGAACTTCCTAGAGAGCTCGCAGAGCCTTTGCCCATCACCTTCCAGCCCTCTTGGAGGATGGGAGACGTGCCACAAGACTGGAGGAGGGCAGATGTTATCCCAGTTTTCACTAAAGCGAGGAGGGATGACCCAGGAAACTACAGGCCAGTCAGCCTGACCTCCGTCCCAGGGAAGAGACTGGAGCAGATTTGAAAGGGATCGATCTGCGAGCACCTAAAGGACAACTTGGTGATCCAGGGAAGTCAGCACAGATTTGTCCCCACCAGATCCTGCCAGACCAACCTCTTGATCGCGAGATAAGCTTACTGGGAATGCTGTTGGTGGTGTTTACCTGGATTTCAGTAAAGTTTTTGACAGGGCTCCCTATGATGTTCTGATGGGTAAACTGAAGGACTGTGGACTGGACTCTAGGATATAGTTAGGCAGATACAGAACTGGTTGGAGAACTTATTAATTTGTGCGAAACTTCCTTTTAATCGCTGTTTTACCTATGTACGATTAGAATTATTTTATTATCCTAATTCTGTATTGTGACGGTCTTTGTCTATATATACAATAAAATTCTCGATTCTCTGGTTGGAGAACCGCACTCAGAGAGTAGTTGTCGATGGCATTTCATCTGAATGGAGGGAGGTGTCCAGTGGGGGGCGCCACGGGGCTTGGTTCTCCCAGGGGCTGCCGGACTCAGCACCAGCGGCTTTTATGCAGAGTATTCTCTGTCCTTACATTCGAAGCAGTTTCTACCTTGAGCATCAAAATGGCGGAATGGGACTTGGAACAAGGCTTGACATTTGTCTGGGGCATTTGTTTGTTCAAATGCCAGTCCTATCTGAATGTAGCCATGGTGCCCCAATGTCAAATCAGAACCAGGCCACTGGTGGGGGTTGGGCAGGGAAAGGGAGGGACGTCCGCTGCCTCAACCATAAGCCCGTTGGAAGAGCTCCATCTTGACTATTTAACATACAGAATGCTTAAAGGACACTTACGAGGTGTTGTTCGTTTGAAGTGAGCTGAGTCCATTATCTGTTTGACAGAAATATTTTGTCTTGGTAGGAGGGAAAGCACCTGAGGCTGACGTGAGGCGAAAGCAGCAATGGGAGCACAGCCAGTCTAAATACCAGCAAAAGGTCAGGAAAAATGTCTCTGTCACTTCCCTTGTCCCTTGCATGGGCAGCGAGGGAATCTCTTGCTTCGTCTAACTTAACCTTTCGTTTTCCTCTGACGTGAAACGAGTGCGCAGAAACGTAAACCTTTTCAAGGCGTATTGGCGATGGCTCGAAATGGCAGCTGCAAGAAAATAGGGTGCCCTTTGAAAGACTGGCCGGGCCTCTTCGCTGGGATGGTCGTGAAGGCGGTCAGAGGCCGAGTATTCAGTCTGCGTTCCCACGAGGCAAAGAGGCGACACGCAGCCTCCGCAGACCAGGTTCTGGGACAGTTTCGTGGCATCTTCATGGACCCTGCAAATCTGGTCTTTAAGCAACACGTTCCCTCCCCCCCCCCCCCCGCCAAGAAGACCTCTTGAAAACACAGCTGCAGAAAGAGTCACTGATAGGCTCCTTGTGGCTGTCCCCCAGTTAAGGGATGAACAAATAAGATCTTCTTTGTCTTAAGAGGTGCATAAATTTGCATATGAGTAAAACAAGCATATTTTGCTTTTCGTGTGATACATTTTAAAAGGAGTGTCCCACCTTCTTCTTTTTTGCATTGGAAAGAATACTTTTTCCGAGTTGGTGCTTCTGTCTGCAAAGACAGGTATTAAAAATAAGCAGTGCTTAAATATTTTGCCCCATCAGGTGCAGTTTTTTTTCTCATTAGTTTAAACAACTAACCTGAGGATTAGCTATAATTACGAAACAAGAACATGTTTCAAGAACTTGCTCAGTTTTCTCTTTTTAGAGTAGAAAATTCCATATATTGATGAAAGCAATGTGCAAACTGTGAGTGTAACAGAAGTTCAGGTACGTGGAGGGTTTTTGCACTGCAGAGGGCAATGGCTTCGTGGCCGCAGTTGCCTCTCCCAAGCGTCCTCTGGAGGTGTCGTCAGTTTGCAAGGGCTGGGCATGAAGACACCAGTGGGATATAGAACATGCCACGGAGTGTATTCCAAGGCTCCTCTAATTTTGTTCTGGATGACAAGATATTATCTTCTGCTGCCAGGTCCACAGCTGTGTAGGAGTAGACAGTGGCGAGGTGGGAGAGAATTGTTTCCCAACAGTGACCATTTAGGTACATACTTCCTGTTGTTTTATCTTTGCTTGCTTTCTTGCCTTGGAATTTTTCACCCTCTCTAGTTAGGGTCATGCTACCCTTACATGAGTCTTAGCTCCCCCAGATTGCCACCCCAGGTCTAATTATCACTGAGAGTTTTCCTGTTTCATAAGACCATACAGAAGGTGTCCTCTTTGAATTTCCTGTCTGAGCAGCCCTCTTTCCAGTTCCCCTTTCTTTGCTCTGCACCTTAAAAAGAGAGTCCCTTTCTCTGCCTGGTAAATCTGCAAACTGAGGAGCCCATTATACCCCCCACACACACACACACCTTTTTGCAGGTTCAGAGAAGGGGTTTTGTGCAGGACACCTGAGGTCTAGTGTGGCCAGTGCTAGCTCACCCAGGTATGGCTTGCCCGGGCGTATTCTCATTCCCTCTCCCTCCTGCCCAGCAAAGAAAGGGTTCTGTTCGCAGCCAGGCACTCTGTTTGCCTGGGCTGAGAGTTCAGGTCTGCCATGGAGGGGAGTTGCCAAGTTGCAGCTGCACTTGAGGTTAGGAGGAAGCAGGCCATTGGAGCTTGCACAGTGAGGCAAGGGGCAGGGAAAGCCCGTTCTGTCTTGGCTTTCATCACTTGCCAGTGATGGTGGACATGTGTGACGGAGCGTCAAGGCTTAATGCCTTACACAGTCTGAGAAACTTTGAGTAATGGGCTGTTCAGACACAATTCTGTGGAGAGAGTCAGGGAAATTACAGTTGGGAACTGACAATTGAAGAAGAGACAGTTTAGCACTGACTGAGGACTGGGAAGGAGGCAAAAGAGAGTGAGAGGATCGCAGAAGATCCCTATTCGAGCTAAAAAAGGGACAGAGCTTCTAGTCAAGAGAAGTAATCCCTGCCCAGTGAAAAGGGAGATAATTCTTAAAAGAGGAGTGTTCCCTGGTCTGTGTATATAGAAGGATCTTGGGAACTTGGTTGTATGTTCCTGGCTTCTTGATTTTAAGTTCTAAACATGAAATGTCAGTGAAACCTCAGAAACCTGTGCTTGTGAGTTAAAGCAGAAACTGAAAAGACTCTATCCTCAGATTTTCAAAGACCTTGTTGAAAAGCAAAAACACTCACTTGTTGGCAGCCTATTATCTGGATTTAGTGTGATTACAAAGTTACCTTAGTTTTTATTATTGATTCACCTCATACATCCTGACCTAAAATATTTTGTGTATTTTTTAACTTTCTAAAGTCTCATGTGCCATTACAGGCGAGAGCCAGTTTGGTTAAGTGCGTGGACTCTAATCTGGGAGAGCTGGGTTTGATTCCCCTGTCCTCCACTTGCACCTGCTGGATGACCTTGGGCAAGCCATAGTTCTGGCACAGCTGTTCTTGAAAAAGAGCAGTTTCTGTCAGAGCTCTCTCAGCTCCACCTACCTCACAGGGTGTCTGTTGTGGGGAGGGGAAGGGAAAGGAGTTTGTAAGCCGCTCTGAGACTCCGGGTAGTGAAGGGCTTGGTATAAATCCAATCTCTTCTTCTTCTAGAATATTAGCAGGTGGGCTGAGCCAGCATCAAAATATATTAACGTGACAGGGTGGGACAGCCATAGACCAACAAATAAGAAGGAAATAGATGTAGGGGCTGCTCAGCAAGAAAGAGAGAAGAAACAAAGGGAAAATCCTGTGTGTGAGTGAAGGAAGAAGGTGAGGTTGCTGTAACATGCTACAGCCAATAAAGAACTCAATTTCAATGGATAATCAATGGCCATAGGTGACAATGAAATTTCAGGTTGTAGGCACTCTTCTAAGGAAGAGAGACTCAGAACACTGCAAGTCCAGTTTGTCTAGGTAAGCTTCAACCCATTTTTTAAAAATCCTGATACCATTTCAAGGGAAGTACAGTCATCATTCTTTGGGAAGTGCAGACTGTAACAAAAACTCAATTTTCTTTTTTGCTGTAGTTGAAAAGAGAAACATATGTGAGGATGAAGAGAGAGGCTGAAGAAGCAGAGCTTTTGAAGAAGAAAGCAATTCAAAGAGAGAAAGTAAGACAGTGTTAGTCTGGCCAACTGAGTAGTGGGTGTGTTCTGCATCTAACTGATAGTCGTGTAAGACGCCTGGGGATAATCTCAAACCTGGAATGAAAACTTCTACATCTCTGCCACCCAAGAATTCTCAGGTTATTTCTCCAAAGCCATCAGGTTTATGATCACAAGATCTCCCGAAAGTCTACTAAAGGCTCTTGTCTGCTCCTCAAGGGGACATTCCATGTTGATCTGGAATAATGGGCTAGGATCAAGGTCCCCAGGCATCCACAGGGCCAAATACCCCACAGTGAAGATGCAGAACTGCTTCCAGTATTGTCCCTTCTTGAAATGGTGAGCAAGCTTTTGTGGAGTTCTGTGTTCTTGTGATGTGTGAAAGAGTCATCTGATGTAAAACATCTGAACCACAGAACTGCCAAGTGCATGATGGAAACTCCAGTAAACTGCCCACTCCTGAGGCCCCCAGTGTCCTCCAAGGTTTGCGGGTTTTGCTTGTTCAGTTCAGTTCAGTTCTGCAACTGTCAGGAGAGGGAGGGATGAGGGGTGCTTTGAGGGGGGGGCCTGGGTAGAAGTGGGAGGGGAGGGGTGTTCTGCCAGAGAAGGGCATTCTCGTATTGGAGGTAAGGGGCTGTGTTGTTGATAGTCACACAGCATCCTTCACTTGTGAAGGATGCTGTGTGACTATCAACAGCACAGACCACAGTAAACTTGTATCCTAAATCTCAAGGATTACTAGACGATGATTGGTGGAGGTTCAAACTGGATAGTCGGCATTTTGCTTAGCTGAACAGACAGAGACACCTGAGTGCCTGGAAAAGGCAGCAGCAGAAACAAAGTACTCCTGGGGGCACCTCTCTACAGTGGCACGTTTTTATCCCTGATTCTATCCCATTTCCCCCAGAAGGCACGTGCCCGAGTGAGGGTTCGTAAATATACCCCCACTTGGTTTCTTTTATTTTAAGGGTTGATTCACAGGACCAGCTACTGCGTTGACAAGGGTAGCCCTATAGACATGTTCTGTTTTACCTTATGATTCCATGAGTGTTTCATTAGAACAACTCAATTTACCTCAGGTTTGTTTTAGGTGAGGTGAGTTTCCAGTTCTGTTGGCATCTCTTCAGCTGACCGTTTTTTTTTTTATAAAGGTAGCCACGAGGGCTTTCAGTAGGTCGGGGTGCTGCTGGTTTCCGAAGTTTGTCTGGACTGGGTGGAGGGTGTGTTTGGCCCTCTGCCGCTGTGCGGGTGTGGCAGGGCCTCAGGTGCGTTCTCAAGGGGGGGCCCAGGCAGGCTCCCAGCCGCTCTCGTGACTTCCAGCCGTGTGTCGGGTCCCATTTGGAGTGGCTCTGCGCTCGGGGTCCGTGGGGGTGGTGTCCCTCACCAATGAGGTGGCGCTTCACTATGCTGACGCTTTAATACCCTAGGCCAAGGAACTTGAAGAAAAACGAAGGCAAGAACAGTGGCCAAGAGGACGGATGCTCAATGAGGACAACTACCTGTAAGTCCAGCTTCCATAGGGAAGCGATTTAAAAAAAAAAAAGCTTTGGTCAGCCGGAGTGGTGGTGTGGTGAGAGTGTAACTAAAAATGAAGGCCTTTCTTCTTCCTACTGGTCCCTGACACCAAGCAAATGAAGGCCTCTCTTGTTCTGGGGTCTGGCCCTTTGGTTTAAGGGGTTAACTGGTGCATGATCATTTCCCCTCAGAGTAATGAAGGGTTTTTTTCTTAGCGACTTTCTGGCTTATTTTCCCCGTCTTTGTGACTTTCTGGCTCTCCCCCCCCCCCACATTTCTCTCACATGACCTGCTTCCACTGACCCTGAGAACGCTGGTGTGTGTCTTTGCTCAAGGTTGGCCGTGTGCTGGACAGTCCTTGACCGCCCTGCCTTGTGAGGGGCAAAGTACTGTGGAAAGACCAGCCTGGAACATACTTTGATTTTCACTCAGGATGGTGAGATCTGAGCCCAGCAGCACCTCAGAGGCCAACAAGGTTTCCGAGGCAGAAGCTTCCGGGGGTCCAGGCTCCCTCCGTCAGTCACTTGTTCCCATCGGAGACTCTCAAAAGCTGTGACTGCAAAAGCCTTGCCTGTCTCTCAGGTGCTCCTGGACTCAAATCTCGTTGTCTGACTGCAGACCGACAAGGCTGCCCTCTAGAGCCGTCATGAGGGTCGTAATCTTTAAAAAACGCGAGAGAGTGGCACACCTCACCCTCCTCCTGGCACTCCCCTCAAGCTTCTCCAGCTAAATGCCAAAGAGCCCACGCCAAAACAGGTTTCTGATGGCGAGACCAAAAGGCTGTTTTCCACCTAGCAGAGTATATTAACGCGTTTTCTGCTTAAGGCGACAGCCGCATGAGCAGTACTAGATAGAAAGAAATATAATTAACGCGTGCATTTGTTTTCCACTTGGTTTGCTTTAAGAATTGCACCAGTTGGAATAAGACAGCAGGACTTCATAAAAGAGAAAGATGGCAGGGAAGGGATGCAGAACAGGACTGACGAACTGAACCAAGGAAGACTCTGGCCTCTGACCGCAGGGCTGCATTCGCCAGACCGCTGGCCAGCTGCAGAGTTGCCCTGGCCTTCTGGAAGCCTCCGGAGCACTGGCAGAATCTCCCCCAAAATGCCACAATCTGTTTAAATTTACCTTTCCAAATGGCCAGTTCCATAGCTGCAGTGCTCAAAGTACCATTCATAAATCAAAATAAGTGCATGCTTTGAAGAGTCCCTGCCTTTTCTCCTCTAAAGCCAGTTTGGTCTTGGTGCTGGGGGGTGGGGGTGGGGAGTACTTGCCACACACACACAAAAAAAGAGTTTGGGCTCAAACATGCTTGTCTGATCTCTTTTCAGTCTCATGCCCAGTTCTGTCCTAGATCTAACCTCTCTTTTAGCATTGTGGAATATTTAGCCAAAAGGCATGAAGGGGGGAGACACCCTCTAGAGTGCCGTAGGAAAAACAGTCTGAATGCCTGTGGGGGGGTACGTTCTAATTGTCCCCATTAATCTGTCCACTCAAGCTGGCAGGAAATAAGGCAGCAGATTGGCGGCACAGATTGTGTGTGTGTGTGTGGGGGGGTGCTTGCAGAGCAGCACCTCCGTGTAATAGACTTCTCACCAGTCCTGTAATTTTCTCAGACTGTGGGATTGGTGTCAACGGTTCCAAAATAATAAATGAAATCAGGATGCCTGAAATTACTTCCAGGGATGAACTCGGGAAGGTGGGCAAGCAGAAAATAAATTATTCTAGCCAGCTAACAAAAAATGTTTGAAATAATTGGCAATTAAAAAAACCTGTTGATTGGAAAAGTTAATGAGAACTGAGACAAGATGATGCTGGGAAAACTCCTGTGGATTTTTGTTTTGCCCGTTGCTACTGGGGAAAGTCGGCTTTGGTTATCTGACATCTTGCGGTGTTTGCCAAGAAGAAAAAAATTAGTTTAGGTTAAGAGAAAAAACATAGAGGAAAGAAGGAGAAGTTTGGGGAGATTAATTCTCAATATTACTGTGCCCTAGGGTCTCTTGCATTTCATCGCTGCATTCCAATGTGAACTCTCATGGCGGAAGAATTTCTTGGGAATTCATTGGTTTGGATCCTGCAGGTCTCGTCCCTTGCTGGAGGGGGCTTCTCTCAGAGGGGAGCTCTTTCTGCTGCTGACCAAACAGATCTGCAGGATCACAGCCATCTCATTCTGTGTGGAGAATCCCGTTGTTCCTCTGATAACTTGTTACCTTTGCCAGAAAAAAGAGTTGATTATAAATATGCTTTGAATTTGTCCCCTGAAATTGGGAAGGACATCTTATTTATCTCTTGAGCACATATTTCATCCTGCTCTTTCCCCCATGGATTCCAGGGCAGTGTGGATCATACTGGCACCTCAGTTTTATCCTCCCAGCAACCGTGTAAGGTCGGCTAGACTGAGAGTGAGAGCACGGTGGGTAGTTTGAACCCAGATTGCGTAGCAAATTCACCCAGAAGGCAAGTTTGGCTTAGCGGCCAAAGTGTTGGACTGCGATCTAAGAGACCTGGGTTCAAATCCCCACTCTGCCAAGGAAGCGGCTGGGTTGGTGGGTGCCCTTGGGCCAGTCACGTGCTCTTGGGCTAACCTGCCTCACACAGCTGTTGTGAGGATGGAACGGGGGAAGGAAGAACAGTGCATGCTGCCCTGAGCTCTTTGGAGGGTGAGATTAGCATAAAGCAAATAAAAAATTGTCCTCTCTAATCACTATACAACGCTACCACCTTATCTTGAAATAATTTTGTTATATTACTTTGTCTGATCTGCTGAGGAAACTTATTTTGAGCTAATAATTATATTTTCCAGCTACAGCAAGGTGGGTTGTGGCTTCCTTCTGGGGGATTGAAAGATTTGTTCCCTTATGACAAACTGATGGCGAAGATTTCTATTATACATTTTGCCAAAACATGTTTTCTGTCTCTAATGATTGGTAGTTGTATATGTGGGCTTGGAAGAATTCTTTTTCCACTGCAACAAACTTGACCATCTTTTAATATAGCTTTCTATTTGTTCTTTCCATTGATTTCTAGTGGCCAGTGCAATAGTCTGTTCCAAGGTCAGGAAATTATTGAAACAAACAGATGCAAAAATTTTATATGGTCATATGGTACAATACTATGGCCAAATAATAAAGCAAGGGGCTGTGGTCTAGAATAAGACATCATTAAAGGCCTTGGCAAAGAAAATGCAAAAGGTAGGCACCAGACAATCTTCAGGGAAGATCATTCAAATGCATGTTTCTTAGGCTGTTTAACATCCACACCTCGTCCGTAGGCTGATGCTCAGAGCACGGAAGTGCCAAAAACAATAGGGAACCCTTAGCATGTCATTATAGCCACAAATAGCACCCACCAAGGAAAGACCATCAGCAATCCACAACTATATATGATCAAAACTGTATATTACATTCATTAAAGTACAAGGATGGGTTAGTGGTCATAAGCTAATAGAATGTATAAACACATATCCAACAGATTGCTCATAACAATTGGGCATTATTTACAAAAAGAACTTGTTCAAAAGCCAACAGTAGGCTCCTCTGTAGTCCCATACATAAATAGTGTCCATAGACCTCAAAAAAGAAAGTAACTGTGGCAGAAGACACTCACTGTGGAAAGAAAAATGGCTGTATGTCTCTCCCAGGTATAAATGCAGACATTTCAATGATCTTCAACAGCAGCTGGTAAAACGGAACTGTGAAGCAATCATAAATATACATAAAAAGATGGGGTCGAATACATCTCTCCTTATATATAATTGTCCTTTGGTGGTGGCACTCTCCAGAACATTCCACACGCTCCCAAATCAGTTGGCTGTCATAACGTGTCCCTATCCACTCACTTGCATTGCCTGAGTCGCACCCACCGAAGCAGCACCCGTGAGAATTTACCTCACTGTGCGCTGGGATCCCTCAGAACATGGACACTCCGGTGCTGCCTGCCCCTGTCTGCCGCCCCGCTCTGGACCTGCTGACGCTTCAGGTTGTGGCCGCTACCGAGAGGCCTACCATGGGTCCACAGAGGTGGCACACTCCTTTTTGATGTTTCTGCCTGTCAGAGGGGCTGGCATGCTGGCCCCTCTATCAGGCAGAAGCCCTCTGGATTCATTTTCTCTCCCTTCCTCTTTCCTTCACCCCTCTTGGAACTGAGGCAAAGGGGGGGGGGAATGGATCCCAGGCACTTCTGCCTCTCAGACGGACTGGCACTCTGCCCCCTCTGTCAGGCAGAAGCCCTCTGGATTCCTGGCACTCTCTCAGAGCCTCTTTCTAGAGCTCGTTGTATTGTATTTATTTCCACAATGGGCCTTATTCCTAGTAATACATATATCAGTTCAAAACCATAGGAAAAATATATCTCACCCCGATTTCCAAACTAACGGGCACAGTTCAATAACTTCACTGGAATCCTAGGGTTCTCTACAAGGCAACATTGCCGTGCAGCATTTAACCATATACAAATCCATTGCACTACAGTTTCTTAAAGCGGACCCCTCCCATTTTTCACAAACATGCCTGAGTTTCAAATAATTGCAGTCATCCTCAAATAAAGGCAGCAAAATCAAGCATCTGATTCATTCCATTTGGTGCTAAAGTTTTTAATTAAAAAATCAATCTGGACTCCTTTTGCAATGAAATTTGATTAGCATTTTGAATGGTGAATGGTTTACTCTGATATACAAATGCTACAAAAAAGCCTAATTTCTTCAGGACTATGCCTGGCTTGTGTGTAATGTTCTATCAGGGCTTGGCTAATATTATTGTGCACCCTAGAGCAGTCTTCCAACATACATGTACCGATAGAATGTGTGGATATACCCACATATAAGAGCCCACAGGGACAGACAGACACATATACAATAGTTTTTGCTGAGCATGTTGCCAGTGCTAATTTTTATGTTCTTTGAAGGCTCCTCAAAGACCTCCTCTTTCACGAATTTGCATTTCCTTGGACTCTTGGACAAAGTTACTGTCAACACTCTCTGGCAGTGATTTGTTTATTGATGAATAAAGATGTTCCAAGCTGAGACCAGTACTGTGTCAGAACTGAGGTTCTGGCATCCAAATCTCCAATTATAGACAGTTCGAACCAGACCCCCTTTGGGTCCCGTCCAATCATACCCCACAGCCATCCCACCTAACTTTCACTCACTCTACACCCCCACCTGTGAATATACTGTTAATTTCTCTAAGCGAAGCAAGCACAGTCATCCCCAAGGTCATCCCTGCATAGGGAGGTATCTTAGGAAGATTGACATTGCCACTACAACAGAGCCATTCACACGCTCACTCACACCCCTCTGCAGGCCCCAAGTTCCCAGAACATGGCAGAGTTTGACATTCGGGGCCCCCAAAGCCCTCACCCCCCCCCCAGCTTGAGGGGGTACCACTTATAGAAAGCACGCACCAGTTTAGAAGCTTCCACACTTCCCCTGATAGGTGTTATTTGTGGCAGAGCATGGAAGTGACCTTGTCCATAACGAAATGGCTGGCCGTCCACACTGGCCACCAACATGGGGCAAAGAACAGATCATTTGGAAAGGAAAATGTCACCAAGAGAGAAGTTGCTGTTGGCGAGGTGATAGGTGGTCAGAGCATAAGGTAAGGATAGGTACAGAGAGGAAACTCTGAACATGAAGATTTGATGGCAGTTGGTGAAGCCAGCTTGGAAAGATTTGCAAGCAGCTGGGAAGGGAGAGGAGGCGGAAACACAGGCAACAGTCTTCCTCCATAGAAATGCCTTTTAAAAACACCCCAGTCTGTTAAATGCTGTTAATCTGGGCAATGACTGTTACCAGCAGTAGTTTGTGTCACCTCACTTTATCAGGGGTCCCCAATGTGGTGCCACCCCCGGACACCTTTTCTGGCACCCACCAAGGGTTTTTAGAAACTGGGTGGGGCCAAGTAGGGCTTTTGCCCAGCAAGGCTTCTGATTGGCCGTTGGAGATTTGATTGGCTGTGCGAATTTTTTAAATTGTTGCTTTGGCAGCAGCTGCCAGCACAGCACACGAGGACCTCTGCTGTGTGACTGAAGGTAAGACATGGCGATCGTTTCATGGCTGGCTCTGCCCCCTGTGGCAGCCATGTTGTTGCTACGCCCACCACCCTCTGCCAAGATTCCAGATGTGCCTGCAGGCTCAAAAAGGTTGCACTCTATTGTTCTTTTGATTGATCAGTTTGATAGCTTTAGGCCCCATCCTGAGAAATCTAAGCTAGAATCTGGGGTTGGCTCCGAATTTCTTCATTGACCACTCTTGCAATTCTTCTTGCATTCACCCTACAGAGAAACCACTGAGTTCTTGAATAAACTGGCTTTAGGCCCATCTCAGAGAACCTCTTGTCACGCAGAAGGCCACGGTCTGGAATCTACACCCTGGGTAAGTTTTGTTGTGGGCTCTGCAGTGGCCAGTATGAAAAGTACAGCTTGTCCTGTGTCAAAGCAGACAGGGAGACTGCTTCTCCTTGACAAGCTCCCTGTTCTGACCAGAGGAGACACGAGTGAGACTGAGGGCTCCAAGCGGCCCGACCCCAATGAGGAGATTTGTCCCTGTGCAGCCAAAAGAGAACCTTTCCAACTAACAACTCTTTCTGTGGCCACCGGTACGGAGCAGGAGCTGGTGACTGAAATCCCTGAGGTTTCCTTCCCCAGTTGGACTGTTCCAGCTTCTCCGACCACCACTGGTCCTGAGTGGGGGAGGTACCACTCTGGGAGGCCCACCTGTGCTTGCCTGGAAGAGGATTTTTTTCAGACCACAGAGCCACACAACGCGGTTGGTTTTCTTAAATGGCCTAAAAAAACTCAAATGCAGCTTGTGGAAGGGGAAACATTGGCCAAATAACTTGTACTTGCAGCAGCAGAGCAAAGGAAGTAAACCTCTGGAGTCAGCGCTTTATCCCTAAGCGGGGCAGCCATTATTAAAGCAAAAGCCGAACGGAGGCTTGTAGAGTGATTGTGGCATGAAGTTGTGCAGGCCAGAGTCTGTGTTTCATCTCATGCGGGACATGTGATGTCTGTTGGCTTGCATGGACAAGGAAATGTGCAAGAAAGCAACAAAAGGCAGGAAGCCTGTGATATTTCTAGGCAGAGCTCAATGTGTATGGCGGGGGGGGGGCAGGCAAATGAGTCTGTCTCTGCATAAATTGAGACAAACATGGCAACGTTCAGCAACTGGGGGGGGGTTTGCACACTTTTATGTTGTTTATCATCTGTCTTTCTCACTGAGTCTGAAGGAGGATTACACAGTGTAAATCACTGCAATGAGTAAGCTGAGACATCTAATGAGCAATGTGATAGGACTAAGACCTGCAGAAATTTGAAAGGGAGCTGTCCTTTGAACAAAGTGTAAGCACATCTTCTGGGGCCAATTTGTTACGGTGCAGCCCTGTTTCCTTTATAAAAATGCCCTCCTGAACAATTCTGTTTTACACAGTTTGGGAGATGCCTGGAGCCTGCCTGGCCTCCTCCAGCAGGCCATTCCAGGGGTGGGGGCCTGTACAGGGTTTAGCCCACCCAGGCCATGCCAGGAATGGGAGGGAATCCTGTACTTTCCAGTACATTAAACAACAAGCCACAAGACAGTCTGTACCATCTCTGGTCTTCACAAAAATTTGCCACCAAAACCTCTTTTCACTAGTCCCTGCCTTTCCTAAGGGAGAGATTCCAATCTACTTGCAGTTTCTTTCAAGCTGCTAGGCTGGCAGGAGCTGGGACCAGAGACAGGAGCTCACTCCATCACGTGGCACTAGGCTCTCAGACTGCTGACCTGCAGACCTTCTGTGGCCTGCGGTCTCACTTCCCCATTCGTTCTGTATGTGAGCTTGTAGTGCTGTTGTCCATTTCAGTGTGTTCCCTTGAGAAGTGGTGGAAATGGTGGTTGTTCCTCAAGGGGAGGCCTTCAGGCTGTAGCCAAGACTCATCCAGGCATGGTTCTCCAGAGCTGAAAGGGAGTGGTAGGGGTCTTCTCCTGGTCCATCAGCGACATGCTCATGCCTCCTGAGTCTCTGGTCCAGCTGTCTAGTTGTGACAGGACAGGTCCCGAAACTGGCAAGACCGGTGTGCCAGGACAAGGCAACAGTTGGGACAAAAGAAATGTGCAGCCCCCGCATAATGGTGCGTTTTACCTTCCACCTGCAGCTTTGAGACATTTATTGTGACTCTGAAGAGGCATAGAGTTGGTTAACTAATGGGAACAGCGGAACACTCTGCTGCATTAGGTGGAGCGGCATCTGTAAATGCCAACCAGTCTGTCTTACTCACATGGTATGATATGCGTGTTAAGTGGAGAGGCAGTTAAGTTCCAGCTGTCTCTCTAAGTCCTGCTTTCTTTACTGTGCAACAGGCCAGAAGCCGGGCGTATAAGGAACTCCAAAGACAAGAAGAAGACAGGAAACTGCAGGCGATGAAGGAGGAGCAGCGGAGGAAGGTGAGGAAGCAGCTGCTCACTCACACCGGCGAGCCCCTTGGGTTTGGCATGTGAATGCTCGTGTTGGGCTGGCTTTCAAATTCATGGGGAGGAAAGGCAGTAAATTCCTTGACCTGAAATTTGAAAACCCCAGCTTTATTTTATTTGACTGGTGTGTTTGTGGCCAGCAGTAACCAGATATTAGTTCATCAAGGGCTTCCTTTGAAGGCTAAGAACTGAAAAACAAGTAAAGTTTGAGTCCAGTGGCACCTTTAAGATCAACAAAGTTTAATTCTGCCCAGTCAAACTTTGTTCTGTTGCTTCAGACCAACATAGCTACCGACCTGAGATATAAATGACCTTGTACACGTCTTCCATTGAGTGTAGCCCAACTGTCCTTTCACCTGTTGCTGCAGCTCTGCTTGTCCATCTCCCTGGCAGTGTTCTGCCTGTCTGTGCTGTCCACTTGGTCACCTAAACATCCACCTGTTCAGCGGGTTACTGTTACGTTAGCTTGCCATAGTTTCTTCAGCCCCTCAGTTGCAAAATCCGTGGCCAGGAAGCACGGGACCGGGAGCACATGTGGACCTCCCCCATCTTGCCCCTAAGCTTGCAGTGGTCCTGCTTAGTGGCTGAAGCCATGCTTTCAAATCTCAAATGATGGCCCACGGCAAGAGCTGTGGGAAACCTGGAAGCATAGCAGATGCTTTGAGCAGCAGTTCTAGTCCTCAAGAAGCACTGGTAGGACCTGGCTTTGTTAGAATTCAGAACAGGAACTGTACTGCTTAAAAGGAGATGATGTGGGTGTGTCTCTAGGCCAGCCTAGACAACACTGTGTCTCCAGGTCCACAGTGAGAGCCTGGCACCATTTTGGAGCCTTTTTAAAAACTTTGAAACTCACCCCAGGGGCCGTGGGGACCATGGGGCAAGGGGCCCCCTCATGTTTTCAAGAGCTGAGATGGCTGTGGTGCACTTGGGCATGGCATCACCACCTACTTTGGCCCTCATGGGTGAGTGTGTGTTCTTCCAGTCTCTGTTTCTAAAACCCTTCAATGAATTCAGCCCATCTGATCACCCCATGTGGGCTTTGCTTTGTTTCTGGGGTGCAGCAGAAATGGGCTTTCTTTCTTTGTGTTTTTTTAAAAGAACCGTTGGCTGCCTGGCCTGTGCTAAAGCCCCTGGGAATGAAGAGGATGGCTTCTCTGGTTCGTGGTGTCATTTGGCCCAACAGCTACCAAGGGGGAAACTGTACCCAGCCCTTCTAAATGGATCGCTGTAGGGACCAGCTCTCCTTTTAGCCCATCCTCTCCCCCATAAAATGTTGGAAAGGAGAAAATGGGAGACAGTGGAAAAGAAGGCATTCTCATTTTCCTCACTTGTGTGTTCCTGTTGCGGGAGGGGGGAGGTTCTGTTCTGCACATGTTTTGTTCCTCCTAGTGGTCAATTCAATATTACATTGCTCTGTGTCTGGCATATCTCCCAGTTGTGCAGGTTTTTATGCCGGACATACACAATGTAGGATCTAATCGACCACTAGAGGGAGCAAAACAAAAATCTGAAGCAACACACAAGGGAAGAAAATGAAAATGTAGGAAAGCCCATAGACTACTAGAGATGGAAGGTCACCACCTCGTACAACCCCTGACTTAATGTAGGAAATCCAGCTGTAAAGTGTTTCCAGCAGATGGGTCTCCAGCCGCTGCTTGAGGATCTCCAGTGAGAGAGATCCCGCCCCACCCCAGCATTGGTTCCATTGTCAACCAATATTAGAGTAGTTGGAAGTCCTCTAATTTCTGCTTCTTGCTTCCTAGAAAAAAATTATTTCAGGAAAGGATCTCCTTAGTTTGGTGGTCTTAGGGTGTAACTGCACACGACACCATCAGGTGTGCCGTTCTGTGCTGGGAATTTGATTCCCAGGTACGTGAGGATCTGGTTCAGATTGGGCCCCTGACACATGAGAAGCTGCTTCAGCGCTTCCCTATGTTCTGTTTTCCTGACCTTAAATGGCATTGGGGGCCCACTGTTTGCCCCAGTGGTGCAAGCTAGGTGTGCCCCATCAGTACATGTGGAGCCCCTAGGGAGACAAGTAGTGGCCACCAAGGAAGGACAGCAGAGCAGGGGGGAGGCTGAAATCCCCTTTCTGCTTGTACACGGCAGACCTGATTCAAATCAAGCCCATACTCACCTGGGAATTGAGTTCCCAGCACAATTTTTAAAATTTATTTTTATTTTATTTATTTCATGACACATGTTTGCTTTATTTATTTAAAACACTTCTATGCCACCTTTCCAGCCAAGCTGGTAAAAGTTAAAACACTTCATACATTAAAATGTTGTGTGAGCTCGGAGAGGACTTGGAGGTAAAAGGTGATGCATAGCAAAGCCATTAGTAGACTCCAGCCACAATGTTGGGTGTGCCATGGTCTCCATTTACTCTTCTGTAGTCTTCTTCTGCAGTCACCTTCCTTGATAGCTGCGTTTTAATAAATGACACTAGGCTCCCTTCTTCTCATCTGCATTATGTCTTTCAGTGGCTATGTTCCAAACATGGGAGTTATCCCACCAACTTTGTTATACACCTTATATTTACCTTCAAAGTCATCTTGTTTTTTCCAGTACCCTGGACATTTGTCTGTTGACATCAAAGGCATGATCACCTTGCTCCCCTGTTTTTGTTTGTTGTTGTTGTTGTTTTATACGTTTCCGTCCTCCACTGGATTCATTTTTAAGCTCCTCTTGAGCTGGTTTGATGGGCTTCCACCAAAGGCATTCTTCCTCATGCAGTGCCTCATGCAGTGCAGTCCCTGTCTCACCAGGAGCTTCTGCCGTGGTCCCAGAAACAGAACTTCTTTCAGCAGCACCATCTCCTTTGCCAGTCACTCAACAGCAACGTTCTTCTCTCTCTGAAGCATTCTGTCTCTTACGAAGAAAGATTTTGGGGGTCAGATAGGATTCCTCCTCACAAAAGCCTCACAGTCAGTTGTAACTTGTTCACTGCGGTGCCCAACAGTGCTGTTTGTTGCTGTGTGGGTGGAAGGAATAACAGTCAATGGGCTTGATGAGTCTCAGCAACACCAGAGATGCAAGACTAGGCTACACACTTCACGGGCTGGTTCTGTGCTTCTCTGTGAGCTGGGATGGCCAGCCACGGAGATGTTATCATTGAATGTTGTTGCTTGGCTTGAGTGGTTCAGAAGGTCTTCTAATTCTACTATTCATGATAGGCATTGGATCTCCCCCTCCCCCATACCTGTACCACTCTTCATCCAGTAGTTGCTTAAAATCATTTATAATGCTCAGACAATAGAGGTGGCCAACGTTATGTTAATGTTCAGCTGTCTTCAGTGAATCCTTCATGCATTAACGTTGTAGTGATTAGGTCATAGTTCCTTGACTTTAAAAGGTAGGCAAAGGACTTTAAAAGGTAGGCAAAAATATCTATCCTCTCCCATATTTCCAGTGCAGGGCTTCGTACAATTTTTTTTTTAATTCGCCAGTATTAATTTCCATCTTTCCCTGGCAGAGTTATTGAAAAAACAAGAGGAACTGGACAGCTCGTTTCTCTTCCTCAGATCCTGGGCTTTGGCAATATGGACTGCGAAGCCGTTCATAATTTTTTGCTGCTGCTCCTGATAAATGTCCCTTAGAATCACAGAATCGTAGAGCTGGAAGGGGCCACACGGACCATCTAGTCCAGCCCCCTGCCCAGTGCAGGACCAGACTAAAGCATCTCTGACAAATATTCGCCCAGCCTCTTCTTGAAAGCTGTCAGTGGAGCTCACCACCTCCCTAGGCAGCTGATTCCACCTTTGAACCACTCTGGCCGTGAAAAAGTTTTCCCTGATATCCAGCTGATACCTTTCTGCATGTAATTTAAACCCGTTGCTTCGGGTCCTCTCCTCTGCTGCCAACTGGAACAGCTCCTTGCCCTCCTCCAAATGACAGCCTTTCAAATATTTAAAGAGAGCAATCATGTCCCCCCTCAATCTCCTCTTCTCCAAACTAAACATTCTCAAGAAATCCCTCAGCCTTTCCTCGTAGGGCTCAGTCTCCAGACCTCTGATCATCCTCGTCGCTCTCTTCTGCACCCTCTCGATTTTGTCCGCATCCTTTTTTAAGTGAGGCCTTCAGAACTGCACACAGGACTCCAGGTGCGGCCTGACTAAGGCAGTAAACAGAGGGGCTGTGACCTCCTGCGATTTCAATGCTATGGCCCTTTTAATACAACCCAAGACTGAATTTGCCTTTTTTGCCACTGCATCACACTGACTGCTCATATTGAGTTTACAGTCCACTCTTACCCCAAGATCTCTTTTGCATATACACTACTCCCAAGAAATGTATCCCCCCTCCAGTATTTGTGCTTGACATTTTTGCAGCCCAGATGTAATACTGTGCATTTATCTTTGTTGAAT